CCTACCCGAGATGTTACTTACCCCACCTTGTAGTCTGTGTTGTTGTGCTACCATGAGTTCTCTGATTGAGAAGTCGTAGGAGCATCCTCCTCTTAAAGAGGAAATGTTTCCACCGTTTGACGACCATCCAATTCAATTCATGTCATTTACTATAAAAAATCAAGCACATGTCAGCATTAAAGTAGAAATCAAAGCTCAAGCAACAAACTAATCTTCTTCTTCTCAATTGTTCGATCCTTACATCCAGAAGGTACAATCAGTACTTCATGCTGGCTAATCTCATGCATATGTTAAGAGAGATAAGAGAGAAAAAATAAAATTTTTTTATCACGATGAACATGAGCATGTCACTATTGATTGCCATATTTCAAGCCACTCATTAAGAAGTTAATCAATGAATGATATTTGAAGAAACTCTCAGTTCAATGAAGCAATAAACAATAACAACTAAATTTCAACTACTTCAACTTGACCAAAGTGAAGGTTATAGGTGATCAATAAAATTGAGGCAATAAATAATTAGAAAGATCGAATAAAAAACTTCACCACTAACATGTAATTCATAGCCATTATATGCTCACAAGAGTATGATAGAGCATATAAGGATCAAAGTATTTTCCTCCTTCTCAAATTTTATATCAAGGCTTGCTAGATGCAAGTGAAACTTTTATAAAAATTCAAATGATCTTGTGGTGCACATTTGTTTCCAATGAACACAATTGGTTAATTTTTAAAAAAGAATGATTGAAGGGTACTTTTTGACCCATCTTTTTTTGTCTTCATTTATGTTACTTAGAGAATTATTTCACTTTGAATCCTGAACTAATGGTGTGCATTTAGTTGGTTCAATTGGATTGATTGATAAATTTATTGAATCAACTAAATATAAGCAAATATAACAAAATTGAACCAATCAAATGATATGCAGAACGAAGCCACACATTAATTTGGTTGATTTGGGTTTAACTGAGCTTTCAAATCTAAATAAAAAATCATACATTCGATCAATTTGGATGACTAGTTCACGAATCTGAATACTTGTGATTTCATAAATCAAATCAAATCAATGACTCTTTGATCTAACTTAACTAATGGTCACCCCTAACATATATCTCCTTGAGAACTATTGTTGAAGATAACATAGGATTGCTTTTCACAAAGTAAGTTGACAAATATGAATTTTTTATGTAGAAAGTAGAGATGCGCATGCTCATCTTTCTTCACATGCCATGCATAATAGCCAACTCTTTTTCCACCCTTTTTCCTTCTTCTTGGATGATTTACTTACATACCCCTCAATTCCCATGTATTTACATATCTAACCCTTAAAATTCATTTTTTACATATATTGCATCAAACACATGCATGAAAAGATGTAATTCATTTTTTTTTTCCTATAAATTAAAATAATTATAATAATTTATATATATTGGTGGTCCTATTAATCTCCCATATCTTATGAGATTAAACAAAAGGTGCCGTCCAAATCCCGTCTAGTACTATTTAAGCATTAAGTATGTTTCCCAACCTAATTGCATGCCAAATGGCATCGTTTCTAACACCAAATTATTTTATATTGATTTTTAATGTTAATAACATCACCTAATCCAAATTTATCTCGTGATAAGTGAAAGTTCATTAATCAAGCTAGTTTAGAGCCGTTTTGTATTGTTTTGATTTAGTCTATGAAAAAGCCTACGTGATGTGACCATTTCTAGTTCAATAATTAGTTCAAGTACAACATATGTTAATATTCATTTATTCAATAAGCCCACCATTGATATGATATTTTACTCTCTCTGTTTCTCTCTCTTTCTCTCTCTCTATTTATAAGAGAATGGCCAGAGGCTATTATACGAATTCTCTTACGAACCCTCAGACATCCTCATGTGTTTAACTATTTGAGGACCGTACTCACTATCATCAAACTGGTGAGGAGAGGATTTGAACCCGTGACTTGAGAGGACTTACGACCTTCAAAAGGCTGGTCTATCAACAGGTCACGACTGACGTCACACGCACGCACGCACACATACATACACAGATAATAATAATAATAATAATAATAATAATAATAAAATTAGTGTTTGACTTGAGAAATAAATGAACTTAGCATAAATCAAATGGAAGATTTATATGTATACCACCATTTCTTATGTATTTACATGACTAACGCCTAAATTTCAAATTTTATGTACATGTCCTTTTACCTATGTATGAAGAGATGCATTTCACTTTCTTCTTTTTTTGTTAAAATAATGATTTTTTTTATATGTTATGAAAGATTTGAATGGTATAAATGAAAAGAAAAAGTATAATTTAAGTATTTGATACATAAATATATAAGAATTTGGCGGTGCTGATGTAAATGTTTTTGATTTATCCATTAAATTACTTTGTCATGTCCACAATGTCTCAATGAAAAGGTCTCGACATGGATGTCAGACGATGCTTTAAACGAGAATGGATGTATGTCTTTGCATAAATGATGATTTTCTTTGGTAGCTGGTTTGTTTATTTTAGCAGTGGGCTCAGTTCAACCACTTCAGCAGGTGTGCTCAATGCGACCATTTCGACCACTTCGGGTGGTGGGCTTCGAAGCCCATAGGATCTTTGATTATTGCGTCATACTCATAAAAAAAAAAGTTCTTTTTAAGTAAATGACTGCATCTCATTATATATATGTCGCCTACCATGACTCTTTAATTGACAGAGTTGATAACGCCGGTGGGGTCACGGGTTCGATTCCGCCTATGCGTGAGATGAAATTCTTAGACACATGAGATTAGTCAGGAGGCTCATATAATAGCATCTGGCCAATCCTATGCTGCACACACACACACACACCCATTTTTTATTTTTAAAAATACTTAAACGCTTAAAATTAAGTCAACTTGCTTGAAAATAAGTAAGTAATAATATTAGAAAAGAAAAAGAAATGATTAAAAATAGTACTAAATATATTTTAAAACAAAAATAAAAAGAAAAGAAAAAACAAAAATCTTTTCAAATTAACATGACTTAAGGAGATGCCTAATAAAAAATTGGTTTCACTTAAATCATCTTAAGGAAAGGGACTTAATTACATTTCTAAGATTATTTATAAAGTATTAGCATCCTTACTAGTAAAGTCCTCATGATATTCTTTTTTCATATAATTTTTCTAAGTATCTTTAATATGACAAACTACAATATTCTTGAAAAAAATAGGAAATCAGAATTCTGAGACTTGAATACTAAATATTTTTTACATTCAATTTTTAACCTATGTTATTAAAAATCTTTCTAAAGTTTCACTATTGCAAGAATTATCAGATGCGGAAGGGGTTGATAATTTTTATTATCAAAATTATTCTTCATTAATGTTATTTATATTTTATGTATACATTCATGTTCTGAACATTCATCTTCTCATTGATTTTAATTTACATTTTTTTTATCCAATTATATGCCTTTTCAATGTATGTATCCTTATGTGTATATCCTACAACAACAACAATTATTATTATTATTATTATTATTATTATTATTATTATTATTATTATTATTATTGGTGTTTCATGTCAAAGGATTCTATGTTGCCCTCAAAAGACAAATAATAATAATAGTGCTAAAGGCAATCGATAACCGTTAGGTATGGCTCATATATTATGAGGGATAGATGTTGGAGCAGAACGGAGCGAGCAAGCGGAGCAGAGCGGAAGAATATGCCCAATTTGGGGAGTTTCGTTACGTGGGTTGGGGGTGCGGGGGCAATGTCCCGCGGTACGGTACATGAGTAATTTTGTGATTACATATTGTACTCTAGGGTTATATATGTCTTATTTTGTAACCCTAAAACATTCTGTACTCCTTTTCTGAATTGAAGGAAAGCCCCTGAGGACGTTGGCATGTTTGATGAAACTCGTTAAATCTATGTGTGTTCTTCTGGATTTGTGTCGATTCATGTTTTTCTTCGCCTTAATTTCTCGACAATAACCAAACGGTCTTGACTCAAACGAGGTATTCCTTAATTTTGAAAATAATAATCTCATGTTTAAAATCTTATGGATACGAAATTAAAGGATTATGCTGCTTCCTAAGTGAGTTTTAAAATTAATTTAAAATTAATTTAATGCAACTTCAGTTTAAATAACACATTTGAGATATATACACTTCTATTAAAAAAAGAAAAAAAAAACACTAAAGACTATATATGCTTTAATATTTGCACAAATGCTTTCGTGAAAGAAACCATAAATATATAACTTAATTATCATTAATCAACATGGTGCACATATTATTAAAATATTAAATATTCTAATTAAGATTACATGCACACCCATCCTGATTATTTTCTTTAATGATTTCCTTGAGTCAGTTTTGTTAACCTAAAACAACACTAATCCTCCTCACAAGTACAACAAACTACAGCAACAACAACAACGTACCTTACATTTGACCTAAGACCTCAATTGGTAGCAAAGCTTACACGTGCAGTTAAGCCATTTTCTAGGGCAACTGTTGGTTTCAGTTAGGTCTGGGAGAACCAACTATAACTGAAATTACCTTACAAAATTTAATTTTTTTCATATTTTCATGATCTCTCATACATTAGCTATTAAATAAAGATATTTTTACCCTGCAGTAAGATCCGAACAGCCAAAGTGTGCATCTGAACCGTCCATCGAATGGTTTGCGCCAATCTAAATGCTTCTGCATGCATGGCAACTTCGTATACGTATGCGTCTGCTAGCCGAAGATCGAACGGACCGAGACTGTTAGGTTCTAAGTAGACGTTGTAGGTTAGAAACAATGGAAAGATGTTGAAAGAAGAACAAATTCTCTCCACCAAGCAACCCCACTCTCTCTCTCATTTCTCTCTCTTCATTGGTTAGCCCACACGTAGCATCACCCTCCCTCTCTCTCTAATCTCTCTCTATCTCATCAGAGAACTGTACTTTCCTCTTATTTATTCCATTTGTTAATGCATCTCGCTCCTCCCTTAGGGTTGTCTCCATTCCATAAATATAACCACCGGATCATATCAATATATCTCTATCGATCCCTGTGTTTAAATTTCATCACCATGAACAAAATCCAACCTTTTCTTACATCTTAGTTTCTTCGTTTCTCTTCTGAAGAAAGAAGCTTGCAAAAAAGTTTCTTTTTTTTTTCCTTTCATCTCTTTGCTGATTTTTTAGGAGTATCAGATGTGTTCGAGAGGGCACTGGAGGCCAGCAGAGGATGAGAAACTCAAAGACTTGGTCTCAAAATATGGCCCTCATAACTGGAACGCAATCGCTGAGAAGCTCCCAGGAAGATCAGGTGCAAATCTAACAAAATCAAATTTTGATAGCTATTTATCATCTTAAAGCAAGTTATATTGTATGAAATTATTAATATTTGTATATCTATGACCATATATACAGGAAAGAGTTGTAGGTTGAGATGGTTCAATCAGTTGGACCCAAGAATAAACAGGAGTCCTTTTACAGAAGAAGAGGAACAGAGACTTTTAGCTTCTCATAGAATTCATGGAAATAGATGGTCGGTGATAGCTCGTCTATTTCCCGGGAGAACAGATAACGCTGTGAAGAATCACTGGCATGTCATCATGGCTAGGAAAGTAAGAGAGAGGTCGAGATTTCATGGCAAAAGACCCTGCTTTTCTTCTTCTTCTTCCGTGATCATGGCCGGCGAGAGCTCTTGTAATGCTCAAGGAAAGCGAGGGAGTCTGCAAGATTCTCAAGGGTTCTTCTCCTTTGTAGAAAACTATTACAAGAAGCAAAAAAACTGTTTTTTGCTTGAGGATTTTAAGTCCAATTCGGATGAGTTGCAATCTTGGATTCATGGATTCAGTGCTGATTTCAGCTTAGGTAATATCTTGTAGTTCTTGTTCGGTTCAGTTTATGATACATATTATGTTATTGGATTGTGTCTTGAATTATTCATATTAATAAATTATAAATTCATTAAATTTTTTATTTTTTGCTTTATTTTGATGATCATATCTCATAAAAATATATATATAATCAAATTTATTTTTTAGATAATAAATAAATAATCAATCAAACACAAAGTACAACTTGATATATATACATTATCGTTACCTACCTAAATATCAAACACTAGAATATGATACTATAAACCAAAATATCAAAATAAAAATTTAGTTTTGATAGTGCACTATGCATTAACACATGCATATTATCCATATTGTTTCAGGTGGAAAGAAGAATTCAATCGAGTTTTATGATTTTCTGCAAGTGAATTCTGACTCCAATGGCACGAAGTGTCATTCGAGTATAGAAGAAGAGAAGGATGAAGCGTCAGGAACAAAGCAAAGCTCCTCCATTCTTCGATTTCTTCTCCGTTAATGGGAGTATTTAATTATTAACTTTGGGTTAATGATAAATACTTAACTAATTAATCATCATGCATGCGTGTTTAAGGGAAAAATAATCGCTTAAAATCATATTTATATAGCGAGAAAACTACTCGCTAAAAACACTGAAAAATGTACAGAAAATTTTGCATGGAAGACTGTCCCATGCACTATTTATTATACATTGGGAGTGTGATGAGCTGTTTTAGTTCTATTTAATTAACAATTTAAGCAAATATTTTTCCTATATTTATACTATGTGTATAATGTGGAGCTGAAGTTGGCTGACTGATTCCTTAAATGTAATTTAAGGGATGATCATGCATGCATGCATTTGATTGATTACGCTTATTTATGTATGCCCAAGTTAATGTTAATTAATTCTCATTCACACATGAGAGTTGATGGTACCTAAATAAGCCATTTCAACCTTGTACATTTTATATATGCATATCAACCACTTGGTGGTAAAGTTTCAATGTGATATATTTTCTTTTTTTACTTTATAAATTTCAATGTGATGTTGTGCCATGTGAATGAAAATGCGAATTAATTAAGATGCCAAAATATAGAAGATAAATGCTTAAGAAAAAAATATGGTTAAAAATGAAAAAAAAGTAATCTTCCTAGAAAATTTAATGCTTTTTTTTTTCAAATATGAAATTAATTTTGTCTTCTTATGCAGGATGCAATATGTAAAATGATTCTGATATATATATATATAT